CTGTCTCCCGAGTGCTGGGATTAAAGGGGTGCACTACCACCGCCCGGCCTATTGTATGTATTTTATCACTTATAATGAAATAGTTGATATAAACTTCCCTCTGCCCCAAATACTCCATTGTTAACAAGAACCAATTATTAACGTGTTAAACAATGTTGTAATAAAAGCACTTCTTTGTTGTGGGATATTTGTACGAGGTGTGAAGATGTATTTCTGTGCTTGGTATAATAAAAGTTAAATGACCAATAGCTAGGCAGGAGAGTATAGGCGGAACTTCCAGGCAGAGAGAGAACTCCGGGGGAAAAAGAAAGGCAGGAATCACCAGCCGGACTCAGAGGAAGCAGGATGCGCAGTACAGAGATGAAGTAATGCCACATGGCAGAATGTAGATGAATATAAAAGTTATAAGGGCTTGTTGAGAAGAAGCCTAAGCTGAGGACAAGCTTTCATCATCAATATTAAGTCTCTGTGTTGTTTTTGTGAGCAGGCAGTCCCTACAAGGAAGACTGGCTGCTCTTCTTGGTGACAGATTGATGGCCAGAGGTAGCTGCTCACAGCCTTAGGTCCAGGGTAGGGATGAAGAACTGGGGCTGGAGCTCAGCAGCAGAGCCCTTTGCCTCCAGTGTAGAGCTCTCCAGGTTCAAGCCCCAGAAACAAGCAAATAGGCAAAAACCAGTGGTGGCTGTTAATAAAAACACACGGGGTTAGGGCTGGTAAGATGACTTAGTGGGTACAGGTGCCTGTGTCCGTGTCTGATTGAGTTTCAATCCCAGAGACCCACCTGGTAGGGGAGAACCTACTCCCCAACTTCTTCTCTGACTTCCATATGTATGCAGTGGCATGTACGCTCACATACATACACGCAAAATAAATAAATGGAAAAGAAAGAAAGAAAGAAAGAAAATGCATGGTATTTCTCTTAGGGGCAAATAATATTGTGGCTCATTTATTCTCTTTATGACGGTCAAACGCTAACTTTCAAGTAGATGTTAATGAATGTAAGAACATATTTTTCCCCATTCAAGATCAAGAACTCCTGAATTTTTATACAGATAGGTGCCTTTGAGGGTGGACCCAGATTAGATGGCTGTGCCAATGCCTCAGAACCCTGTCTAACTCAGAGAAAATTCTGGATGAATGGCAGCTCTCAAGACAAAAACTGGGTTGGGCGGCCTATAGCTCAGTTGGTAGAGCGCTTGCCTGCATGCCCAAGGCCATGAGTTTAATCCCCAGTTTGACAGCCATGTGAAAAATACTACACTTCCATATCACGATGTCCAGATGTCCGTTTCCTGGTTCCCAGGCTGGGATGCAATAAGGCGCTTTGCATATCTTATAACTGACTAACCAGGTAGACATGGCCCGGTGGTAATGGCGTGGGTTGCTGCAGAGGTGGGTGAACTTGAAAACACCTGGGAAGCGTGGCAACTGGAGTTAATATTTTTCTTACTGATCTTTGACCTCCAAGTGTCAAAGGAGACCTGTGAGTGAGTTGGTGGCTGTACTTTCGGAAAACAAGCTTTGTGGGCAGCAGTACCCGTAGTTTAGATGCATAGATGCAATTTCTCGTTTGCAAGAGAGGAGGCTGTTCATAAATAAAACTGTGGTGAAGTCACGGTGGGGGGTGCTGGGACTTGGCCAGTTTTCAACTGTTAGTGAGGAGAAACAATTTTGAAAATGTGTGTTTTCCCAGTTGGAAAAATGAAATTTGAGCTCATTTATAAAGACCCCAGTGAGACTGCCTTCTTTAAGAATATTCCGGAAGTGTGTGTGTGTAGATGTGTTTAAAGATGTGTGCTAAGGCAGGTGATTATTTCTGTAGGTGTGTGTGTGTGTGTGTGTGTGGAATGAGGTTTATGTTGTCAAAAGGGAAGAGAATTTGTTTTCTCATTCCTTTTCTGTGTTATTTAAAAAATTTAAAAATTTTATTTCTTTATATACTCGTGTGAGTATGTATGTATAAGAAACAAATGTACCATGGCACCTGTACAGAGGTCAGAGGGCAGCTTGTAAGAATTGATCTCTCCTTCCTCCATCTAGGTCCCAGGGACTGAACTCAAGTAGTCAGGTTTGGCGGCAGGTGTCTTTTGACTGAGTCATCTCGCAGCTCCTGCTTCTCTTTAGGTTTAAACAAGAGCCTCAGGGGTCCTTTCAGGTTCTCTTCGGGTGAGTGAGTTGTGTACCAAGGATGTTTGACCTGGCCTTGGCATTCCTGTGTGGGGCTCTCTGAAGCGGAGGCTTCAAGTGTTCCTGTGAGGGTTTAGCCAGCTGTGTGTTCCAATCTTGGAGATTCTGCTTGGTGCAATGAGAACCTCCCACCTGTGTGTGAACGGGGCCCATGGATAACAAGTTTTCGAGAACTACACTGAGGTCCAGGTTCCATCCCTGTCTTCTCAGGTGGCACAGAATAAACCCAGGGCAGTGTGGGATTCAAGAGTAAGCTGTCACCAGAGTTGACTTCTTAAGGAAACGGTCTAAATGAAGGGAGATAAACACCAACAAAGAAAGCAGATTCTAGAAGACGGGTCCAAGAGTGTTTCTTGGACCCTGCGCAGTTTTCTGTGTGTGTTTTGAAAAAATTCATAAGAGAATGGGGGAAAGGGCCAGTAAAATGGCTCAGTGTATAGAGATGCTTAACATCAGCCCTGCTGACTCACTAGAGCCCTGGGGCACACATGGTGGAGAGAATTGACTCTGTAGGTTGTCCTCTGACCTACACGAACTGTATGTGTGCGTGTGTATAAGAGAAAGTGCGTGTGTGTCTGAGAGTGTGAGAGTATGTGTCAGAGTGTGTGTGTGAGTATGTGTGAGAGTGTGTGTGAGAGTGTGTGTGAGAGTGTGTGTGTGCATGCATGTGTGTGAGAGAGATGTACGTGTGTGAGAGAGTGAAAAAAGTGTGCGTGAGAGTGTGTCTGTGTCTGTGTGTGTGAGAGAGAGTGTGTGTGTGTCTGTGTGTATGAGAGAGAGAGACAGAGTCTTTTTAAAATGTAAGTGAATTGAGCTCTAGCTAAAAAAAGTTTTCCTTCAATCCCCAGATTCTGAGATAGCTGGCATAATTTCCTACTAATCTAATTAAAATAGTTAAAATGACAAATGCAGTCAGGCCCAGGGGTGCAGGCCTTCAGCCACACAGAAGGCTGAGGCAGGAAGACTGAAAGCTGAGGACCAGCAGGGCTGCAGAGCAAGTTCAAGGCCACGCAGGGCCCTTCTCAACACACAGACAGCCACTTGCTTAGCATATGTGAAGCTCTGGGTCAACTCCACATCCTGAGTGGAGGGAGCCATGCTGGAGTCCAAACACTGGTCCTCAGGCTTCAGGAACGCACGCAGCTGGCTCTCAAGTCCCTCCTCCTTTTTCTTCTTTTTGTTCTTTGAGACAGGGTTTCTCTTTGTAGCCCTGGCTGTCCTGGAACTCCCTCTGTAGGCAAGGCTGGCCTGGACCTCAGAGATCCACCTGCCTCTGCCCCGAGAAGTTCTGGGTTTAAAGGCGTGTGCCACCACCCAAATGAAACAATCTTTTTAAAATCCAGAATTTAGGACTGGAGTTAGGGCGGCAGTGAAGAATATGTGTGCCAAGTTTCAGGGCAGCCAGAACTGTCACACAGAGAAACCCTGTCTCTAAAAACCAAAAAACAAAAAAGGATACATGCTCCTTTTCTACAGGACCCGTGTTTGTTTGATTCCCAACACCTGTGCCGATGGCTCACAACCACCTGGGACTCCAGTCCAGAGGATCTGATTTCCCTGGCCACGGAACCCACACCCTCATGCACACACCCACACACAGACACCTACACTTTCACATAATTAAGATTAAATAAACCTTTATAAATTTTTAAGTCAATGTTTTTAAAAATACTCTTTTTTAATAATTTATTATTATTTTTATTTTTTATGTATATTGCTGTTTTGCCTGCATGTATATTTGTATGAGGGTTTCGGATTCCTCAAAACTGGACTGTTGTGAGCTGTCATGTGGGTGCTTGGAATTGAACCCAGGTTCTGTTCCTGGAAGAGCAGCCAGTGCTCTTAGCCGCTGAACTAAAATATTCTTGTCCAGGTGGTGGTGGTGCACACCTTTAATCTCAGCACTTGGGAAGCAGAGGCAGGTGGATCTCCAAGTTTGAGGCCAGCTTGGTCTACACAGTGTGTTCCAGGACAGCCAGGGCTACACAGAGAAACTCTGTGTCAAAAACAAACAAACAAACAAACAAAGTTCTTGATGACCCTATTTTGCTCCTCCCCTGCGCCCTCCCCTCCTCCTGTTTCTCCCCATCTGTTTTCTCTTTTCTTTCTCCTCCTGTTCTTTTCCTTGGAACCCAAGGCTTCCATGCGGTAGGCAAGCTGTCTTCGGCTCAGCTGCATCCTTCAGCATATCTGATGGTGATTTTTGTCAACTTGACACAAACTAGAGCCATCTGGGAAGAGGGGACCTCAACGGAGGAGCTGCCTCCGTCAGGTCAGCTTGTGGCTGTGTCTATGGGGGCATTTTTTTCTTTCCTTTTCTTTTCTCTTTTGATTGACTGATGATCAGTGTGGGTGAGTCCAGCCCACAGTAGATGGTGCCGCCCCTAGACTGGTGGTCCCTGGTGGTGTAGGAAAGCAAGCTAAGCAGTGAAACCAGTAAGCCTCATTCCTCCACAGCCTCTGCTTCAGCTCCTGCCTCCGGGCTGCTGCTCCATGTTCCTTCAGTGATGAACTCTAAGCATAAGATGTAATAAACCCTTTTTCTCCTAAGTTGCTCTTGGTTGTGGTGTTTTCTACAACAAAGAACAGCACCCTATAATTTTGAGGTCTCAGAGATAAAGCAATTAATTGTCACCCCAGGAGGCACAAAGCAGTTGAGAGGTATTAACACCTGTCTGTCCATTCTGGCACCTGGCTGGTACTTGAGTGGCTCTTGGCAACCAAGAGAAGGGGACAGGCTGGTCTTTTACTTATGACCTAGGAGTGCCACCAGATAAACTCCTCCAGGGGAGGAGAGAGCCTCCAGGCTGAGGATGTGGGGCTCCCTGGCAGTTGTCTGGTAAGTGCCCTTACCCAAGTTTCCCAAGAGGGTCTTTGTCTGGTCCTCCTGAGAACTGAGAGACTAGGGGAGCCCTGAGCTTCTATTATGCCGTTTGGAGCAGAAACCAAATATTTTCTTCCAGAATCCAGAAGCTTCATGTCTTGAGAGAAAGAGGTGGGTGGTCAGCTCTGTAGCTGCCTGAGGACAGAAAGAAGGGAGAAGCCAGTATTCTCAATGAAGGCCTGGCCAGAGCCACGGTCACCTTCACCATCCCTTGTCCCAGGGAGCGCTTGTATAGAATGTGCAAGCCCAGGGCTTGGTCCCCAGTACCACTGAAGGACAGAACAAACCCACTCAGAACAGGAGCAAGGCCTCCACGGCCAGCTTGAAGGTCAACAGTAGTTGGCACTTGGCCCTAAACTCCTTACTGCAGGGCTTTTGTGTGCTCTGTGACGTTTGTAGATCTGTGGACAAAGAGGGCGATGGACAAGCTGGGTGGGGTGGGCCAGCTGGGCGTCTGGGTCCTGTGCCAGGAACCACCCGCTTCTCATGGCTGTTCAGTGTGGAGCTCAGCTTTGGGACGTGAAGGGAAAGTTCAGGATCCGTAAAAGCCACACTGGAATCTCGCTCCTAGTAGGGGCTGGAGGAGGAGATTGCGCAGGCGTAGGCTGAGCTGGCCCTGGCAAGGCGGATGTAATGCCTTTTCCTGTATAACAGCATGGGTGAGGAGAGGATGGCACCACACATCAGCAAAGCAGCTGGTTTCTCCTTTCCCAGGTCTCCCGGCCTCTGGAGCAGATTCACCTGCCCTTGGGGTAATCTTACTTTGGCTATCGGGCAGTAAAAGCCTCTGTTTTGCAAACGAATCAAATGAAGATAATGTCGCCCCCTGCTGGGAGCTACGAGGAGACTCTAGCAGGGGTAGACGTGCGCGTGCGCGTACGCGGAGCAGGGGTGACGAGGCCACCAGGTTGTCTCTAGAGAGAGGGTCTTTCTCTGGCTTGGTTTTAGTTTGAGATGGGGTCTTGGTGTGTAGCTCAGGCGTGGCCTCAAGCTCCAGATGTTCTGGCCTCTGTTTCCAGAGTGCTGGAATTGCAGGGCTGTGCCACCATGCCTGGCTTTACTCTGGGTGGATGAAGAGCCGACAGTTGAGTCTGGCAGGCCCAGCTCAGATTACAGGCTAGGGAACCAGGCTAGGCCAGAGGTTCTCAACCTGTGATCCCTTTGGGTCGAATGACTCTTTCACAGGGGTCACCTAAGACCATCAGAAAACACAGATATTTACATTACAATTCATAACAGAAGCAAAATTACAGTTATGAAATAGCACCGAAAATAATGGTATGGTCGGGGTTCATCACAGCATGAAGAACTGTATTAAAGGGTCACAGCTTTAGGAAGGTTGAGAAGCACCAGTTTAGCCCTTCTTTGCTAACCGAGTCTGGAAGACTGAGGGCCTGGCACGCTAGCCTTGGCTCTCAGCTCATTTGATACTGAAGAACTAGAGGAGACAGTGACAGCAGCCTTTGATGGACACCTACTGTCCTTTCTTATCTTGTTTTTGCCTTGAATACTTTATTTACTTACCTGTTTTCCATGCATACGAGTGTTTTGCCGGCATGTCTGTAAGGGCACCAAGTGCATGCAGTGCTCACAGGCCAACGAATTCCCTGGAACTGTCGCCACGTGGGTGACTGAGAACCAAACCCTGGTCCTCTGCAAGAGCAGCGAGTGCTCTTAACCACCAAGGCACCTCTCTAGTCCCTTGTTTTTGTTTTTGAGACAGAATTTCTCCATGAATCTGGTCTAAAGCTCAGATTCTTCCTGCCGTAGCCTTTGAAGTGCTGGGATTTAGAGGTGTATGCAGACATACTTGGATCAATTACTTAAACTATAACTTTAAACATTTGTCTCTACACACACATTCACATATATGCCTATATCCACTATATACAAATAGGAACTCACATATATTTTCCACTAGGGATCAAACCCAGGGATTTGCACAGGCCACGCGCTGTACTAACGAGCTACATCTGAAGCCCTCTACTTGAAAAAAAAAATGAAGTCTCTGGCTGGGAACGTAAAGTGGCATTGTGCTGGTTGCATGTGTGCAAGATCCTAAGGTCTGTTACCCAGCCCTGAAGAAACCAAATTGAAATAGGAGCACATTGCAGAGATTTTTATTAAATGTTGTCTTCAGTACAGAAGAGAGGTCCCCAGAGCAGATACATATACAGGCAGTCCAGAATGTTGAAATGGGTTCTCTTAATGGATGTGAAACTAGACCATAGCCACAAATCAGCAACCAGTGGCACCTAGACCATAGCCACAGATCAGCAACTAGCGGCGCCTAGACCATAGCCACAGATCAGCAACCAGTGACACCTAGACCATAGCCACAGATCAGCAACCGATGGCACTGCACCTGGGTATAATGTACTTTTTTTTTTTAAATATTTATTTATTTATTCTGTATACAATATTCTGTCTGCATGTATGCCTGCAGGCCATAAGAGGGCACCAGACCTCATTTCAGATGGTTGTGAGCCACCATGTGGTTGCTGGGAATTGAACTCAGGACCTTTGGAAGAGCAGGCAAAGCTCTTACCCACTGAGCCATCTCTCCAGCCCCTGTACTTTTTTTTTTTTTAAGACATTTTTTTCATGTAGCCAAGCTAGCCTTAAATGTGTCATGTGAAGGTGGAGGAGAATGATTTTAAACTTCTGATCCTCCTGCCTCCACCTCCCAAGAGCTGGGATTACAGGCATTCACGTATGGTGTTCTGGAGTGCTGGGGTTCCATTCCAGGGTTCTATGCGAGCCAGATGAAAACTCTGCCAATGGAGCTATAACTCCAAACCCTCTTTCACATTTTTCTGGGTCAGAACAGTTTTCCCAGTGCTCAGAGTTCCATAGCTCCAGTGATACCTCACAGAAAATGAAAAAGTAACACTCTAGAGAACTCCCAGTTTTTTGCAGAAGCATAATGTCTTGGAGGGTCCATTCAGGAGCTGTTTTCAATTTTTCCTTTACACTCGCTATTCTAGTACCCATATGACTAGAAACGCCCCCCCCCCAGTGACTTCCGATTTCCTCCCTAGAGGAGCCACTATCTGTACCACCAAATGCAACATCTAGAACTATTTTTGACCTTTCTATAAATACAGTCACAGGAGAGATAGATGCTCGCTCATGTCTGACGTCTCTCAGCGGAACATGTACTATGCGAGGCGTATTGTCTTTTCTTGTGCTCTGCTATCTCATAGAGTGAGCAGGTCCCAGTGCACCCATTCCCGTGCTGATAGGCATTTGGGTGGTTTCCAGTCTGAGGAAACAGCCTTGCTCTGCGGACAGCCTCATGCATGCCTTTTTGGGCACCGTGCCCGAGACACTGTTGGAACAAGATTGCTGGTCACAGGCTGCAGTGGGAGCAGCCTCAGATGGTGCTGGCTTCTGAAAGTGGTGGGTTGGACCCATCTCCTAGCTTCTGGGAGCTGGAGCTTTCTCGCTGGCCTGGCTTCTGCCAGCTCTTCCAGGTGCTGTCTTTCACCCCAGGGCTATTTCTCAAATGCCACTTAAGGAGGTTGCTTTTCAGGAGTGTTTAGGCTCTTGATGGAGTCCTTCAAAACTGCCCCTCCCTTTTTTTTTAAAAAAAGATTCATTTATTTATGGGGCTGGAGAGACGGACTCAGAGGTTAAGAGCATTGACTGCTTTTCCAAAGGTTTTGAGTTCAATTCCCGGCAACCACATAGTGGCTCACAACCATCTGTAATGAGATCTGATGCCCTCTTCTGGTGTTCAGGCAAACATACAGACAGAACACTACATACATAATAAGTACATCTTTAAAAGATTTATGTATTTTTTTTTTGAGACAGGTCTCACTATGTAGCCGTGGCTGTCCTGAAGTTTGCTCTGGAGACCAGGGCTGTAGCTCTGGTTGGTGCAGTGTTTATTTAGACTGTACAGAGTTCTGAGAGCTATCCCCAATACTGCAGAGCTCATAGAGATCCAGCTGCCTCTGCCTCCCAAATGCTGGGAATAAAGGCAAGACCACCATGCCCATCTATTTTATCTTTAAAAAGATTCTGCCTATGTGTGTGTGTCTGTGTAGGGATATGTGCAGGTGAATATGAGACCCCATAGAGGCCAAAAGAAGGCCACAGAGTCTCTGGAGCAGATGGCTGTGGAGTACGCAGTGTGGGAGTGTGCCAGGAACTGAAGTCCTCTGCGAGAGTACTACACACTCTTGTTTAGCTGCCTAAAAATCACGTGGAGGTGGTGGCGCACACCTTTGATCCCAGCTCGCCTGAGACGAGGCAGGAGGTGGATCTCTGTGAGTTCAAGGCCAGCCTGGTCTACAGGGTGAGTTCTAGGACAGCCACGGCTACAGAGAGAAACCCTGAAGTGCATGGGTTCCTCTGCCTTCCCACCTAGGGTCTCCAGAACTTCTGATTTACTCTAAGTTCAAATCTTGGTACTCCTGGCTCTAGGGTGTATCTGCCCTCCCCACATGCCTGCTGTCTGGCCCTTTGTCAGACTTTTGTACTAACCTTTGTGTTTAGTTCCTTGAAAGCATCAGATTGTTCCCCCATGCTTGTGGGTTCGTACCTCCTGCTCTCTCTGGCTGGATTATACCTCTCTGGATGAAAACCTGGAATTCTTTGCTGCCCATCTTAGTTCAAATGCCACAGCTTACTGATGGTATTTTTCTTGAAGGTTTATCTTGAGTATGAGCATATGTGGCTCTGTGCCAGAAGAGGGCGCCAGATCTCATTATAGATGGTTACGAGCCACCCTGTGGTTGCTGGGAATTGAACTCAGGACCTCTGGAAGAGCAGCTGGTGCTCTTAACTGTTGAGCCATTCATTTCCCCAGCCCCGATTAGTGATGTTTTATCTGATGTAAAAACTTTGAAATAAGCAGAAAGAGTTATTTATTTGTTTTTAAAAATATTTATTTATTTATTATGTATACAATATTCTGTCTGTGTGTATGCCTTCAGGCCAGAAGAGGGCACCAGACCTCATTACAGATGGTTGTGAACCACCATGTGGTTGCTGGGAATTGAACTCAGGACCTTTGGAAGAGCAGGCAATGCTCTTAACCACTGAGCCGTCTCTCCAGGCCTTATTTATTTGTTTTTAACATGTTATTGATATTTTAACATATACCCGTGTGCTACTGCACACATTGGGGGGGAGTCAGAGACAATTTTGTGGAGCTGGTTCTCTCCTCCTCCACGTGGGTTCCAGGGATCCCACTCTGTTTATCAGGCTTGGTGGCGAGCACTTTCCCCCATGAGCCAGCTCACAGACCTGAGACTTTTAACAATTGCAGGCTCTGTCTGTTGGAAGTGGCTTGCTTAGTGCTGACATTTGCTCTCTCTGACTCCAGCATTCCTTATTTTAGTTTGTGATGCTTTGTTATTATTTTATTATTTATTACTTATGTGTTACATATGCGTATACATGTGTGAATATACCTTGTCAAGGGAGGCATGCGCATACAAGAGTGTGTATGGAGGTGCATGTGTGCACTTGTGTGTGTGGGGGGGCTAGAGGTAGACACTGAGATCCTCCTTTATTGTCTTTATTGTTCTTCACATTATTTTATTTATTTGTATTTTTTTGTTTTTTGTTTTGTTTGTTTGCTTTTTTCTTTGAGACAAGGTCTCTCTATGTAGTAGCCCTGGCTGTCCTGGAACTCATGTGCATCATAACTACTGGCTTATTTATTTATTTATCTATCTATTTATTATTCTCCATCTCCTCATTGCTTCATTATTGCTATTGTTATTATAATTATTTTATGAGTGTTTTGAGACAGGGTCTCTCTATGTAGCTCTGGCTGGACTGGAACTCACTACATAGACCAGGCTGACCCTGAACTCACAGAGCTCCACCTGCTTCTGATTCCCAGTTCTGGGATTAAAGATATGACCACCATGCCGGCTTCACCTTTTTTTTTTTTTTTTTATGACTCTGATTCATTTGATCTATCCATACCTGCAAACGACACAATCTTCCAGTCTTCCAATCTTCTTATTTGTCAGGTTGAGAAACAATGAAAAATCCTATTATTTGCAAATACAACATTTTCTTTATCCATTAGCCTCGGTTGAGGCTATCCATAACTTGCAAACTGTGAATATAGGCATTTAGGGATTTCTATTATACGCCCCCCCTTTTTTTTTTTTTTTTTTTGTTTCTGAGACAGGGTTTTGTAGTGTAGCTTTGGAGCCTGTCCTAGAACTTGCTCTGTATACCAGGCTGGGCTCGAACTCAGAGATTCGTCTACCTCTCCCAGGTGCTGGGATTTAAGGCATGCAGCACCACCACCTGGCCCCTTCTCTCACTGAACCTGGGACTCACCAATCCAGACAGACTAGCTGGCCAGGGAGCTGATAGGAACCGCATGACTCAGCCCCGCCCCCTCCTCCCAGTGCTTGGATCCCAGGCGTGTATCACCCTGGTTGGCTTCTAACATGGACACTAGGAATCCAAACTCAAGTCCTCATGCTTGCCTGGCCGGTACTTAGCCAATGGAGCCGACTGTCCAACCCCTTGTGGAGCCTTAAACTGTGGACAGCCCTGGGGCCTGCGAAGGATTCTTGTCAGGGACTGGTGCCTGTGACCAGGGCTCTTTTCATTCAGAAATTCTGCCTCCTGTGGACTGAGCTGGTTTCCAGTCTGTTTGCAAATTCCTTCCGACATCCTGGATCTAGAAAATATGTCTGTTCTTTTTTTTTTTTTTTTTTTTTTTTTTTTTTTTTTTTTTTTNTTTTTTTGTCTCTTTCTCCTTTGAACTGGCTGTAAAACTGCAGGGTTTCTTCATTAATAATTATTTAATAAAAATTTTCAGACAGATTTATTTTAAGAATTCTGTATGAGCCGGGTGGTGGTGGCACACTCCTTTTAATTCCAGCACTCGGGAGGCAGAGGCAGGTGGATCTCTGTGAGTTCGAGACCAGCCTGGTCTACAGACTGAGTTCCAGGACAGCCAGGGCTACACAGAGAAACCCTACCTCGAAAAACAAAAAAAAAAAAAAACAGAAAATCAAAACAAAATTTGTATGAGAACCACAATGTTGTCATTTTGGAAATTATCTTTTTACATTGATCTTCCAGGAAACACTCTCCCCCAACCCCCCACCTCTGGCTTTCTGAGTCTTATCCCTGTTTCTGCTTCAGTGCTTGCTGTGGGAGATCCCTCTATTCATTTTTTCCTTGACATTGCTGCTTGGTCTCTGTCCTGGCTGCTGCCCACGGTAGGCACCATGCAAACGATATATCTCTAAGGCGAGGGTGTAACTCAGTGGTAAAGCGCTTGCTTAGCATTCTAATGGCCCGGATTTGACCCCTAGCAGAGCAAAAATAAAAAAATAATAAAATCCATAGATGCATAAATATAATTGACTGAATGAAGTGTAGCGGAGATATTGTGCACCTGTGATCTGGGCGTATGGTAGGCAAAGACGGGAGGGTTACAAGTTAGAGGTCAGTCTGGGCTAGATGGTGAGGTTAAGGTAGCCTAGGCTACATGGTGGAAACTTGTCCTAAAACACAACATGACAAAACCGCAATAAAAAGTAAAAGAAAACAAAACCAAAGATGAAGTATAATTGCCTGAGTGAATGAAGTCAGGCTAGGCAGCCCTGCTGGGCTGGGCACCCGCTCCACACCCTTCTCCCTTCCTCACAGGGCCATCTGTCTGGCTTGTATTCAGCCTGCTGTGTTCCCGTGGGTCCTCCCCTTCGGGTCAAACAAGGACAGGCCTCGCCCGGCACATGGAGCTCTGACAGGTAAATCAATCACGCTTTTCTGGTTCACACCAGGCTTCGGCTTCAGGCGGTTCCCCTCTTCTCAGACTGATAACCTGCCTGCCTGCTGTGGTTACGTGGAAGTCAGAAGCATTCGTAGCCAGTGCTTAGCCCGGACGGCAGACCCCTCTGCCACCTAGCACTGGCCTAGTGCTTGGGTTCCCAGGGATGGCTGCAGTCAGAGCCCGGGCTCCCTCTCACTGAGGAAGCCCTGGTTTTGAAATAGCCGTCACGGGCTCACATACCAGGCTTGGCATGCAGTCTTGGGGTCCAATGATTTGTTTTGCTCTTTTGACCTTTGTTGTTTGTTTTGATATAGGGTCTCAATATATAGCCTTGGCTGGCCTGGAACTCATTATACAGACCTGGCTGGCTTTGAATGCATAGAGATTTGCCTCTCAAGTGCTGGGATTAAAGACGTGTACCACCACACAGGGAAATCTAACTCATTTTTACATCAGGGTCCGGAGGGGTGAGGGACTTGTCTTCTCCCCAGTGATGAGTAGGAGAGCCCCGACTTCAGCCAGGCAGCAGAACCCTGGGCCCCCACCGTCAGCCCCTCACCACACAGAAGACATTACAAGGGGAACAGACAGATATTTGTTGAGCATTCATCCTGGGCCAAGCCCTATGTTGTGGCCCTCTCCCACACTCCCTGCTGACTTTTTGAAGAAATAACTTCTAATTTTATTCATTATTGTTAGTGTACATGTGTGTGTATATGTGTGTGCGGTGGGGGGGGGCACACGTGCCATGGCATACTTAGAGGACAGTTTTGTGGAGTTGGTTCTCTCCTTCCCTCTTTATATGGTATCCTGGTGTGTGTGTGTGTGTGTGTGTGTGTATACATTTATGTGAACCTGACACAAACGAAAGTTATCTGAGGAGACGAACCTCAATTGAGAAAATGTCCATCAGAATGTCCATAGGTAAGTCTGTGAGGCATTTTCTCTCCCTCCCTCCTCCTTACCCTTCCTTCTCTCTCCTTCCCCCTTCTTCCCCCCTCCTTCCTCCTCCTTTCCTTCTCTTCCTCCTTTTAGATTTATTTTATTTATCATGTACTTTATGGATATGAGTGTTTTGTCCGCATGTTTTACCTGCACACCAGAAGAGGGCACCGTATCCTATGGAACTACAGTGTTAGATGGTTGTGAGCTACCACGCGGATGCTGGAAATTGAACGCAGGGCCTCTGGAGAAAGGCCAGTGCGCTTCCACTGAGCTAATTCTCCAGCCACAAAGTCGAGGAGGCTTTTCGGTTTTTATTTTATTTTGTTTTCTGTTTGTTTGCTTGTTTGTTTTTGAGACAGGGTCTCATTATGTAGTCCTGGCTGGCCTGGAACTCGCAGAGATCCACTTGCCTGAGGATCTGGCAATCCTCCTGAGGCCTGGGATTAAAGGCGCATGTGTTCCTGGCCCTGCATTTTCTTGATTGATTGAGGAAGGAAGAGCATTTACTGTGGGCAATGTTGCCTGTGAGCAGGTGGTCCTGAGTTGTATAAAAAAGCAGGCTGAGCAAGCGGGTGTGTGTGTGTGTGTGTGTGTGTGTGTGTGTGTGTGTGTACAACAAGCCAGTAAGCAGCACCCCTCCACAGCCTGCTTTGGTTCCTGCCTCTAGACTCCTGCCCTATATTTAATAAACCCTTTCCTTCCCAAGTCTCCTTTAACCAAGTCTTTTATCACAGCGACAGGAACCTAAGGCACACAGGCTCTGAGGATCTAAATGAGGTTGGCAGATCAACATGTTTGGGTGGCAAGCACTAGGTACTTGATGAACCATCTCACCGCCCCCCCCCTTTTTACAAAGTAGTTTATTTTGTGTGTATGTGTATGATAGATGCATGTGTCTGGGTGTGTGTGCCCCTTCACACACGGAGGCCAGAGGAGGGTGTTAGTTATCCGGCTCTTTCACTGAACCTGGAGTTAAGTTGGTGGTCAGCCAACCTTGGTCTCTATATCCACCAGCACTCAGTGTGGGGGGGGTGCATGTATGGTCACGCTTGGCTGTTTACATGGGTACTGGGGACTTGAACTCAGATCCTCATGCTTGCTCAGCAGGACTCTTGTCCCCCTAAGCCACATTCTCAGCCAGGTTTTCCATTATTGAGCTTATCTGTGAGAGAGGGGATGTATAAAAACAGGGTGGGACCCTCAGGTTTGTTTGTCCCCTAGAGGGACTCTCAGCCCTCAGGAAAGGTTTTGCTGGCGGTTACCGTTCATCCCGGAGAAAAGATGAAGACTAAATTCAGGCTTTGGGAGAGAACACAGGCCAAAGTCCCCATCATGTCACCATCACTACTGTCCCTGTCACCTTCCGTCGTCATTGTCCATATCCCTATCATCACTATTATACAGTCAATTCCAGGAAGAAACTGACTAAGCAACAGGCACATGGACAGACAGACAGACAGACAGACGCACGCACGCACGCACGGTAGGGCTTTAGACCCATATGTTCTGACTCTGGTGCCTGTGCTCACCAGGAAATCACAGTGCTTCTTGTCTCCCCATAAGACACTGGCTAAGCCGGGTGGTGGTGGGGCACGCCTTTAATCCCAGCACTCGAGAGGCAGAGGCAGGCGGATCTCCGTGAGTTTGAGGCCAGCCTGGGCTACAAGAGCTAGTTCCAGGACAGGCTCCAAAGCTTCAGAGAAACCCTGTCTTGAAAAAACAAAAACAAAACAAAACAAAAAAACAAAACACTGATGCTAGATGCAGGGGTGAGCCCCCTCCTGGCCAGTCACCATGGCTAGATGCAGGGGTGAGCCCCCTCCTGGCCAGTCACTGTGGCTAGATGCAGGGGTGAGCCCCTCCTGGCTGCTCACTGCAGCAGGCTTGGAAGGAAGCCCATCCACTCTTCCTCCTTTCCTTCCCCTCTTCCTTTTGTCCTCTCCTCCTCCTCAGCAGTAACTTCTTTACCCCACAGGGAAGGTCGAATGCTTCTCAGACTACATGACCCTGCAGGTTCCAAGGAGCCACGTGCAGGGTTTAAGGCAGTGGCTGGCATGGGTCCTGCACCCTCCGGGTAAGCTATCTTTTCAACGCCCCCCCCCCCGGTTCTCCAATGCGTTTCTCACACCAGGGCACGGGGCACTGTAGTTCCCTAAAAGGCATCGCTGGGCTACAAGCTTGCTCCTTCCCAGGCCTGCCCTGACCTTCTCCAAGGTCACACACTCATCTCTGTTCCTCTCAGTCTGGTTCCTACTTAAAATGACCTACTCTTGTTCACATGCTTGTCATCAGTGCCACCAGCAGGTCGCAGGGAGCAGGCACAGCCCATGTGCTCCGTGTTGATAGCTACGGTTCCTCCAGGGTTAAGGACTCTGTCTCATGCTTAGAAGACTCCTAATAGACATTTGCTCAGTGGACAAATGGCCCCAAGCTTGGATTGAAGTGCCTATCAGGTGCTAGTATGTCCCTAAACTTAAATCACACTGTGAAGTTAATGGGACAATTTAAAAAAATGTATTTTTAAAAATTTCTGTTTATTTCATTAGTTGTGTGTGTGTGCGCGTGTGCTTGCATGCACACTAAAATGTGCCACAGTGAGCATGTGAAGGTCAGTGGATGACTTGCAGGATTTGGTTCTCTCCTTCAACCACAAGGATCCCAGATATTGAACTTAGGCCATCAGGCTTGGTGACAAGTGCCTTTACCCACCGAGCCTTCTTGCTGGCCTGCATTCTTTTCTTTTTTCTCTTTAAACTTCTATTGCACATGTATGGGCATTTTTACTGCCATGTAGGTTCCTGTACCATATACCTGCACGGCTAATGGGATCCAGAAGAGGGCGTCAGCCTCCAGGAACTGGGGCTGCAAATTGTTGTGGGTTACCCTGTGAATGTTGGGAACTAAGCCAGGTCCTCTGAAGAGCAGCAGGTGGGGTTCTTAGACACGGAGTACACTCTCCAGTCCCTGGTCCGCGGTCTTACCCACTGGAACCACTATCTCACGCTTGGTGGGGAGTTTCATGCCTAAAACAGCCAAATGGACGGCAAATTATGGCTTTCAGAAAACTTTGAGCCATGAGCTTACCCGTTTTCCAGGAGGAAGACCTTCTGGAAACGTCTGGAAGGATCCAGAATAGAGGAAACGTGCCTGAAGCGCACTGCCTGTGGTGCCTTTGGTCACAGAAGCTGCAAGGAAGACACCAGAATGTTTCCTCTCCTTTGTACAAAAAACCAAAGAAATCAAGGAGGGAAGCCTTCCCATCTCAGAATGCCTTTTCCTTGTTTCCTTTCTTCCTTCCCTCCCTTCCTTTCCTTCGTTCCTCCCTCCCTCCCCTTCCTTCCTTCCTTCCTTATTTTTGATTTTTCGACCTTGCTTTATTTTTTTAAGGCAGGATCATATGGTGTAGCCTAGGCTGCCCTATGTGGTCCAGGCTGGCCCCAGACTCATGGCAGTCCTGTCTCAGTCTTCCCAGCATTGGAATTAGAGTTGTGAGCCACCAGGCCTGGCTTAGTCTGGGATTCTACAGTGCTGTCTGGGACTGCTGTGTCCTGAATCCTGAACTGGCCCTGGGACGGTCAGTCAGCCGGCGATGCCTCTGGAACCGGAGTGGCTTTGTGTATTAAAAGGCCACTTTTCCAGGAGAAAACGCAGAGGATACATTAAGCTGTCGCCTGTTCTTTGGAAAGCCATTATTAATGGAAAACAATAGATTAATAGTTTTAAAACGCTTGTTCAATAAGTAATTTTTATGGCTCTGGATAGAGCCCATTAAACACTTCTGTGTGTTATTATAAAGAAGTTTTAAGTGTAAAATCATAAAGTCAATAATCAGGGAATTAGTCACAGCAGCCAGCCACAGGCCATTAGTTTTAGACGCTGTCAGAGACACCTGTGGCTTCGGAGGAAGCGCTTTTCTTCGAGCCGGCAGCGCCAGGTGGGGATGCAGAAACGACGCTGCCTGCTGCCTTCCATAAAGTTGAAGGGACAGCAAGCAGGTGCAAGCAGCGGGATGCGGGCAAATATTTACAAAGTGCAGACGTGAATGGGGAACTAAGGGGACCCGGGTCAATTTGCACATCCAGGCTGAGACACTTTATTTCCCCAGTGGTGTGCCTTTCAGAGCCACAGGCTCGGCCTTGATCTGCTAAAGATAGCTGTGAAGGCTGCACGTCCTTAGAAGGGAGGCATGTCACCCGAGAGTCGTCCCCCCCCCCCCCCCGCACCAAGGCTGCCGGAGCTGTCTCCTGCAAGGGCGTATTCCTCCTCTGTCAACTATCTGGGAATGAAAAGTGTGGGCTTTGGGGCGGGAGGGTGGGGGACTTGATAAAAAAAATCACCTCAAAAGCAACACAAGATAATTATGGAAACAGAAGAACTCTAAAGACGATAATGAAAACTGCCTGTAATCCCTCTGCTCAGTGATATTCCTCTTTGTGTTTTCCTCCTCCAATAAATGTTTACTGAGAACCCTCTACGCGCCAGATGCAGCTTAAGGCGCTGGGGATACGGCGAAGAACAAAACAGATAAATACTCTTGGCGCCATGGGGCTGGCATTTGGGTGGAGGGCAACAAGACCACTGCTGTAGTCGTAGACGTTTTTCAGCAGGCGAGGTGGTAATTGTGATGCAGAAAGGGGGCCTGAGATCAGGGCGAGGTTAAGAGGGGGTGATGGAGCCTCGGCTGGCAGAGGCCTTGTTGACAAGGGGGATTGACTTAAAGACTGGAGAGTGGTGGATTGAGCCACGCAGGTATCTAGAAGAGCAGTCCAGGCGGAAGATATTGCCAGTGAAAAGGTCCCGGCTCTATCCAGGATGCATTAGAAGTAAGAGGGAGGCCAGTATGGCTAAGGCAGAGGGAGAGAGAGCAGTGAGAGACTAGGTGTGTCTCACACGGGTCTCTGAATGGAGAGACAGCCATCTGCAGCAGGCTTGAATGGGACTCTGTGGGTTGCTGTGGAGGGAAGGAGCAGGAGAGGAATGAGAAGGCAGCTTCTACAGACCAGGCTGGGCCCAGAGCTGGGAGGTGGGTGGGATGGGAGAGTCTGCATGGGTATCTGGCAGAACCAACAGACTTCCTATCTTTGCTCTTCTCCGGCGCTCCAGAACAGAGCAGCTATGGGCTTATGTCTGGGTGTTGGACACTCCTGACCTGGCCTCCGCTGTTCTCCCATGGTCCTGTCTGTTTCTGTCACAGGCACCACGAGGGCCCCCAACCACCTGGATTCTCTTCTTACCAAATGTGGTTTCCTCTTGCGTCCTGCTCAGGAGGGCGGCTTCATCTTCCGAGCTTTGTACTCGGGCTGCTTTGTGCAGAAAGAGGTGGGTTTGGGAAACTATTGCTTTGCCGTGCTGGGGTCAGAGCTCAGGGGTCAGAACTCATGTATGCTAGGATGACAGGCAAGTGCATAGCCATTGAGTTACACATCCAGCTTCTTTTGTTGTTGCTTTGAGACAGTGTCTCCCTATGAACCCTAGCCTGGAACATACCACCTATACCAGGCTGTCCTCGAACTCACAGAGAGCTGTCTGCCTCTGCCTCCCAAATGCTGGAACTAAAAGTGTGCACCACCAACTCCACACACACACCCTTTAAAAAAAGCAATCTTATTTTGAGGCAGGCTCTCTCTGCACACGCTGGCGTCGAACTCACTCTGTAGCCCAAGCAGCCCTTGGCTCCTCCTACCTCAGCCTCCTGAGTGCTGGGTTCTAGGTGTGTATCCCCACGCCTGGCTTATCATCTTCTCTCCAGTAGCCCCCCTACCCCTCTCCTGTCAGCACTGCCCTCTTTGACAGTCCCTCACCCCCACACCCATGTACCTCACTTCACCCCCAACTGCAGGGCTTATACTTGGGCTTCTTGCAGGGTTCCCTTGGCCTGGCATGTTGCAGCTCTGTTGCAGAAACAGTCATGTGCTGTTTGCTTAGTTGCTCACATGCGTGGAGCCTCAACTGCCTCAGCTGTCGAATGGGACCAAGGGATTTCTTATTGGGGTCGAAAGAAACAATTTGTCTGTTGTCAGGAATGAGCAGATAAAAACCCATGCTGTCTCTTTAAGGGTGACCTTCTGAAAGACAGAGCAATCCCCTGGTCCAGGGTCATCCCCAGGGACTTCCCCTGTCAGGGCTGAACTGTCACAGGCCAGAATCTGCCACAGTCCGCTGTGCCAGAGACCCTTCTGCTTGCTTCTTAGCTCTTTCATGAGACAGGCTTCTGGGAGGCCCGCGTTCATGGTGCCCGCCATGAGCAGAGGCTTACCTATAATCGTGGCCTATTAACTGCTTGTTCTTCTTTCGTTTGAACGTGTGAATTATGCCCGATGTCCAGAAAGCAAATTACAGGCTGGAAATCAGAATGTTTCAAAAAGGGACAAAAAGGTTGAAGCAGAGTGATCTCTGCATAATGAAGTGTCCCATGATCACGTCGAGGCTGGGTGAACAGAGGGTCCGCTGCCACCCCTCATTCATTCAGGTAACAGCTTGGAATGGAAAGGCCTGGGAGAGTCTGGGAGGGCTGGGGAGGACCAGGGAGAGTTGGGGGAGGGCCCGGGAGGACTGAGGAGAACTGGGGAGGACGGGGAAGGGTGGGGAGGGCCAGGAAGGGTCCGGGAGGGTTCTGACGGTGGTGATGGTCATCGGGGCTGGCTTCTCTTCAAAGGCCCAGGGAAATGACTGTGGTTCCTGAGCTTTGGAGTGTAGCCCAGCAGAGCTGACAGCTAGAGACACAGGGTAGGCCCATTCTCTGTGGACATTTAGTGTTGACTGGATATCACCTCCCTCTGGGCTTTTGGGCATTGAGTCATGTGTTGGGACAAGGGGTGGTGACAACCGAAGTCTCTGCTGTTGTGTTCTTTAAGTCATCTGGTGAACGTCAGAACAGCAGGAGTGTGTAGTGTGTTCTCTGTGTTTTTCTCTCTGGATTAAGGAAAATTGCTGGCAAAAAGAAAAAGTAAAAAGGCTGGGCAGTGGTGGCGCACGCTTTTAATCCCAGCACTTGGGAGGCAGAAGCAGGTGGATCTCTGTGAGTTTGAGGCCAGCTTGGTCTACAAGAGCTAGTTCCAGGACAGGCACCAAAGCTACAGAGAAACCCTGTCTCGAAGAACCATAAAAAAAAAAAAAAAAAGAAGGAAAGTTGCTGACTTGACATCAGAGTCTAGTCTCTCCTCATCCTTCTCCTCATCCCTGTTCTCTCTCTCTCTCTCTCTCTCTCTCTCTCTCAAGCACGCGATGGGTTCCTTGTGTGTCAGGCTTGGAGGATAGCCTCAGCAGTCAGTTCTCAACTTTCTTTGAGACAAGGCCTCTCACTTGCACCTTCTGTGGAGCCTCTGGGCGCTGCCTCCTGTCTTGCTACAGGCATGCTGAGATGACAGACTCCAGCTACTGCATCTGGTTTTGTGGGGGTTCTGAGGATCCAAATTCAGGTCCCTCTACCTTGTGAGGCAAGCGTTTTATCCACGGAGCAATTTCAGCAGCATTGGATCCTGATTTAACCCAGATCATGTCAAAGAATTACAGCCTTCAGGTTTGGGGTGAGCAAGGCCCCAGGTTCCATCCCCGACACCGTCCTCACTGGGAAGAACACAGGCCTACGGTGTCCTCCAGTGTGTCATCGCTTGGTGGCATCCTTAAACTCAAGTTCCTCTGTAGCCCTGGACTAGAGAGAGGTTGACTGGGAACAGGGGAGGGTTGCAAACTCACAGCAGAAATGAATGTGTCAGATGGAGGAAGGAGGAAGGAATGGAACTCAAGCCTCCATTTCCTCAGCAAAGCTTCTCTTCCGCTCATCCTGCTGCACCGGGCATGGCTACGGCTCCTGCTTTGTAAATTAGTTACTTTGGCGCTACGGATGGAACTCAGGACTTTACATCTATTAGGCAAGCAAGCGTTCTGTCCGTGAGCCACGCCCCTGGCCCCTCCCTCACTGATAGATTCCAGGCCAGTTCTCTGCCACTGAGCCACGTCCCTGCCCCTGCTCTGCGGATGTCGACTGTCTCACCTTTACAGCAGTGTTGGCAGGAAGTGCTGCTTATGACCCCATGCTACAGAGTGGACAAGTGGGCAAAACGTGAGTTGCTAGGGTTCCATGGCTGGTAGTGGCAGAGTGCAGCTAGGAGCCGGAAGTGTAACGGGCCCTGGCCAAGCTAGAGCAGGCCCCTTCGGTGAGCAGAGACTCAACCTCTGCCTCATCTTGCTAGAAATTTCAGCTTTTAAAGGAGAAACAGGAAATCTGAAGTTGTATGTGAAATTACACTTTAGAAAGTTGACTTCAGCTGGGAAAGTAGTCCAGTGGTAGAGCGCTAGTTTAGCCTGCCTCTGCCTCCCGAGTGCTGGGATTACAGGCATGCACCACCTGTAATGGCCTGGCTGAACTTCTGATTGTCTTGCCTCCATCTCCCAAGTGCTAGGGTTACAAGTGCAATGCACTTTAACTTTGAAAGGACCATGCCACCAAACAGGATGTTGTAGTTAGAGCTGGGTTTGATGGCGCACACCTGGAATCCAGAACACAGGCAGTTAAGGCAAGGGGACCGTAAGTTTGAAGTCAGCCCTAGCCAGCAAATGGGTAAAGGTGCTTGTTGCTAAACCTGAGCTTGTTTCCTGGGACCCACGTAGTGGAAGGAGAGAACTGACTCCCGCGAGTTGCCCTCTGACCTGCACATATGAACCATGATACTTGCATATGCACACATCCACACAATAAATAAACCCCAAACAGCTAAAAACCCAAGTGCTCAATTTTGCCTGATGCTACAAGGAAGGAGGAAAGGAGAAGAGAGGAGATGCTTGAAGGGAGGATGGAGAGAAAGACCTACGGATGACAGCGACCATCCATTTGAGAAGCATCCGTGAGAAGCACATGCTGGATGCCAAGCTCTGTGCTGGTGCCGATGATCAGATCTGCACGGACACCAGTCTGCCTCGGGAGGGGCGTTCAGTTCCATGAACATCTGTCCCGGCCTTTGAAGCAAATGTGCTGAGACAGGGATTGCTGAGTAGAGGCTGGGACCCCAGCTCTGTGCCTGCCCCCTGTGATCTTGCCTCTGGAGTTCTCTGCTACCCAACTTTAAGGGGCAGCGCCTGAGGCCGAGGGATGTTTAGGGCCCATCGTGCCCATGCCAGACAAGGTGCTATTGTTCCTGAGAGTCACAGGCCTCTTCCTAAAGATCCCCAAACATAGTCATAGTGGGGAGTGGGTTTGACAGTCTGGGGGCTGGTCACGTCTCTTTACACTGGCCTGTAATTTTGGGAGCGGCCACCAGGGGACAAGGTTGCCCCTGTCATACAGCATTGGACAGAAACCGGAGCGGAGCAGAGCTAGCGGCCAGTCAAGCGCCAACTTTGTCCTTTTTGACCTGCTCAGGTCCCCAGCATCCTTCCCCAGCGTAGGTGTTGGAGCCTGCAGGACAACAGGACCCCCATTTCCCTGGGCAGAGTCGCAGAAAATTGGGCTGCATGGGAGCAAGAGTCTCAGCTGCCACCCTTCTTACCCCCCTCTTGCCCCATCTCCTCTGTTTCTCCCTCACCCATCTTAGAACCTCATCACCTCATCGAACTGACTGATTCATTCCTGGTGACTTCTGCAGCCGCTTCCATGGCTGCACCTTGAACTTGCATTAAGTTTTAATTAAAGCCGTTACACCAGCCTTGCCCCTGGCTAAATGCAGCCGCGGGCACAGGGCACATAGATATTTAATACTCTGCCTCTCCCCGCTGATGGCACAGGGTGCCCAAGGGTGTACCCGAGCCATGCCCTGCTTGCAGCGATCTGCGAGCTTGCTTAAGTGTGCCCACAAGCCCCGAGCGGGGAGGCTGCGCAATAACTATTCATTGCCCTGGGTTAAGTGTGCCCAGGGGCACCGGTAAACTCAATGCAGTGATTAGCGATTGCTCCCAGGGAAGACTACCCGAGGTCCTGCTGAATGTCTGCAGGCCCTAAATATAGTCTGCTCGTGGCCATTTAAAGGGCATGGCGCGTTTGGCCTGTGCACGTGGTCCCACGTCCTTTCCCTTCTTTCCACAAAATGGCTCCTCCACGGAAGAGCGCAGCCTCCAGGGCTGCCTTGTTGCTGTGGGGCTGAGGTGGAGAGGCTGGAGGGAGGCTTTGGTGGCTGACCTGGGAAATGCTGAATCCCTTTCCTGTCTCCTTCCTCTCTGCTCCCTAAGTGAAGGCAGCACTTCCAAGGTGAGGGAATTACCGGCTCTCACTCAACAGGCTCCCTGTGGGCTGTGCTAAGCTCTCTGTGGGGTGCTGAGCTCTCTGAGACCAGGGGCAGCAGAGTTGAGGCACTGACAAGATTGTGGGGATAGGAGCTACCTTAGCTCCACCTACTTATCTCTGGGCCAGGAAGAATGAATTCTGCACCTGTCGGGGAGGCAACCCTATGCGTGAGAAGTGTCCAGACTCGTTAGTCTTTTGAGGCTCAGTGTTCTTAGCTTTTAAGGAATGAGGGGAGGGGGTAGCTGCTCTCTGTTGGTCTAAGATTCTGTCCTGTGCCTCAGAATCCATGCCCATGCTTGCAGCAAAGGCAAAGGGAGTGAGGGTGGATGGAGGCAATGGGAGGTAAGAGAGGCTGTGCCATGGCTCAGTAGCTGAAGGCACTTCTGCCCAAGCCTAACAGCTTGCATTCCATCTCCAGGACCTGCAAAGCGAGAAGAGATGACGCCCCTAAGTTGTCCTTGGACCCCTACATGCACACTGTGACAGATGCATGCCCACAACATACACACTGACATAATAAATACATAAATAATACAATAAAGAAAGCGTAGGCAAGAGCACAGATGGGTGCAGCTGGGGCCCAGGCTGGTCCCTTGCTGGCATCATGAGGTTCAGGTGCAGTGAGGGACCGGCTGTCCGGGTTTGCCTGAGAGCATCCTTATTTTAGCCCGAGATGATTGGGCATCCTAAGCATGGCACTTGGGTGAACATACGCCTCTACCTTTGCTCCTCGGAGTCCACAGGTAAAGGAAAGGCGATAAGAGATGGGTGACTGGGGGCCAGATGAGGCAGGAGGTGTAGGCCTGGGAACCAGCCCACCATAAGCATCAGGGTCACGTGCACACCCAGCTTCTGCTTCGCCAGCTGTGCGCCACACGCTAGCTGCCCTGCTGGCCTGGCCCAGGGCAGCAGCTGAGGTGACATTTCCCTGGGTCTGTTGACACTTGAGTCCCAGAACAGAAATGATTTTCTTGTCTTAATGAGCAAACAGTCGGGCGGCACGACTCTCTCGCTGGACTCCTGCTGCGGTGATTGCAGAAGCGTCACCTTTGCTCACAGTTTGCAGCTGTTGCGTCCTCTCTGTTCCTCGCAGGTCTCTAGGCCCTTGCCTCCAAGGATCAACGGTGGACAGGTAGGTGAGGAAAGGGCATTGTTTTGGAAGGTTCTGCTAGGCCTGGTGCTGGGGAGGCTCTGAGGCAGGAGGTTGCTGCTTCCATGGTCCTTCTGTGGAGAATGTCCGTGGACAGTAGTTTTGTGGGTCTGGGTCATGGCAGAATGGGAACTCCCCCTGGCACCCTCTCACACAGAGGCCTGAAGCTGTCTGGGGAAAAGAACCTGGTGGCTTCCTGCTGGGGTAGAAAGCCTCTGGGTCCTGCCATGGTAAGATTCTCTCTGAAAGGTTCCCAGTGGCAGGAGCTGAATCCTTAGCAAAGCCACCCAGTCCTGTGTGGTTCACAATTGTCCCCTGTATTTCCCCTCACTCCGCTCCTCTTTCCTTTCCCTTCCTCCCTTCCTCTTCTCTTCTTCTTTAGTTTTGAGGATATATATATATATATATCACTATATAACCCCACTGGCTGGAATTTTCTATGTAAATCAGGCTGGCCTTGAACTCACAGAGATCCACCTGCCTCTGCCTCCAGAGTGCTGGGATTAAAAGCATTTGCTACCACTGTCCAGCTTTTCTTTTTTAATAGTTCGGGCAGGAAGTGGAATCAAACCCAGGGTGTGCTAGGCAATTACTCTACTAACTGAGCTATGCCCCAGTCCCTAGTTTCTATTGTTTGGAGACAAGATTTTACTACATAGCCCAGGCTGTCATTTAAATCATGTAAATCCCCCTGCTTCACACTCGCAAGTGTTAGGAACACCATTACACCAGCACCTACTTTTTCTCCTGGTCTTAGGGGTTCTCACAGTCACCTGGGGAGAGCCTCTCACACACCCTTTGAGTTTTTGGAATCCTTGCTTTCCATTTGTCTTAGAGTTTTCCCTCAGTCTGGACTGGGCTGTGCTTCTTCCTTGAACCTCTCGCGTCACTAGATACCAATCTTTATTCACAGCCCCCATTGATGGTGCCCCATTTCAGGCTGCCAGTTACACCGGCCTGGATGGTACAGAGGCTGAGTGACTGGCCCTGCTCTCAGGAGCCCAGTATGATTATCTGTGCTCTAAACACCCCTGTAAGAGGTCGGCTTCCCTGGAATATAAGAGCATCAGCATGTTTAAGTTGCTGCTGTTCTACCCCTTGGTCAGCTGAGCCTTTCCATGACCTCGTCACTATCTTGAGTCCCGCCCCCAAGAACCCATGACCCTTGACCCCAGATGAGCATGTCTCCTGGTCAGCTGGATTGTGACTTTGCCTTATGTCATCAGACCCCGTGGATGCTGTCCCTTCGAGGGGAGCTGGTGGCTTCTCTGGAGGACGCCAGCTTGATGGGATTAGATGTGGACATTGGTGCCACCACGGTCACCGTTCAAAGCCCACGACAAGAACTTCTTCAGACACAGGAGGTCAGTGGTGGACAGTGGCCAGGCCGGGCTTGAGGGGGTCCCCACAGCCTGGCACACCCCCAGGAGCACTTTGTCATCCCGCAGTGCCAGTTCACGTGTCCACCTGTGAGACTGGACAGATTTAGGCAGGCGGCTTTGAAAATTGGGCCCCATTAGCGTAAAGTGCTCTGCTCGGCAGATGAGGGGCTCCGGCAATCATGTATTCAGCGCGTCCTGATCATGGTGGCAGGATCATAATTGCCATCTCTTTAAATAGCCCAAAGTTGCCGTGTAAGAGAAGACGGCTCACATGACATTTGCTCCGAGCTTGCTTCCTGCTAAAAATATCCTGGCTAAATAATATTTCCTGGTTGTGCTGGAGCAACAGGCCCTGGCCTGGGCCCTGACTCTTGGGGCTTTGTTCAGAGATGAGATGAGAGGGTGGAGTAGAGAGGGTAGGCCCTTAAGGAGGAACAGTGGCCACAGTGGGGACCGTCCTGCTTCCCCAGGTATGGAACACTTCCCTGGAGCTCCTGCCACTCTGGCTGGTGAGCGGTTCCTATGCCTACTCCCTCAAGGCTGGGTGCCCGCTGGGTAAGATATAGGAGTGCCCCTGATGCCCACCTCTGATTTTGGCACTATCTGTCCACTCCTGTTTTCTTCCCTCTGCCGAACACCTTGTCCCCACTGCCCCGTTCTGCCGCCTCTCTTCTGAGCAGAGTGTGAAGTGTGACTATGGACGTGGGAGCGGTCCGAGCGGAGTGTGAAGTGTGACTATGGACGTGGGAGCGGTCTAAGTGGAGTGTGAAGTGTGACTATGGACGTGGGAGCGGTCTGAGTGGAGTGTGAAGTGTGACTATGGACGTGGGAGCGGTCCGAGCGGAGTGTGAAGTGTGACTATGGACGTGGGAGCGGTCCGAGTGGAGTGTGAAGTGTGACTGTGAACAGTGCTATCTACTGAGGGCTGCAGATCTGGGATCTGGGAACTTCTGGGGGCCCCAGGCAGGCTCTAGGGTCTGTGGTCATATTCTGCAAGACTTTGAGGCGACCCCTTCCCTTCCCATGCACCTCTTCATTGTGAGGAGGCCAGAAATCTGGAAGCATTCTGCTGACCTCCAGGGAATCTGAAGGCTAAAGCTCTCACTACGCAGTTAGATGGATCAAAGGCTTTGTCCTGTGAGGGAAGGTGAGAGATGAGGAACACGGCAGGTTTGATGAGAATTTCATCATGAAGTAAGTCTCAGAATGAGAACTCTGGGGAGTCCAGTGGTCTTGGGGGATATCCTTGCCAAATCCATACACTCCCGCCCTGTTGGTACTATTTGAAATATCTTTATTTGGAGGCAAATGCTTTTTCATTTAGCAACTGCAGCGCCAGCTCAGAACACCCCATGAGAGGGCTGGTACAACAAAGTTCTTGCTAAAGTGTAAACAACTGATACAGGCTGTCCCCTACTAGCAGCTTGCCATGGGAGGGGCGCCAGGCAGGGCCATGAACTGCACTCTTGGCCTTTGCCAGCCTGCTCCTGGCACTGCGTTTGCAGCAACCTTCTCGAATGGCAGTATCCTCCGAGAGCTAGACAGGGTGGCCCTTTTTTTCTTTCCTTTTCTTTTCTTTTCTTTTCTTTTCTTTTCTTTTCTTTTCTTTTTTTCTCTCCTCTCCTCTTCCTCCCTCCTTCCCTCCCTTTCCTCCTTCCTTCCTCTTCCTTCCACCCTCACTCCCTTCCTTCTTTTCTTGGGACATCAAGTTCCAGTGTCAAAGTGAACTGAGTCGTGTGTGGGCTGGCCTCAGGTGTGGCTCTGGCTAAGACCCTGCATCCCTGTAGCTCGTTTTCTGGGTTGCGTTTCCTTCTGGTTCCAGTGTCGTCCCAGCCAGGGTCGGAGGTCTCAGTTTACATCCCCAAGCAGAGACTGGGTCTGGTTAGGAGAGGACTCCGTGTGGAAGAGTCCCTGAGCCCCAGGTTCCTGCGGGTGCACCAGTCCAACACCTTCACGGTGACCGAGGACAGAGACTTCGTGGTCGTCAGCATCCCAGCCCCGCTGCTGCTCCAGTACCAGGTCAGCATCCTGGTGTTATGGCCATGCTTCTTCCTCAGAGACCTCTTGCTTGGGCTGTTGGTTGAGCCCGAAGTCAGAGAGCAGGTCTTTGGGAGCTGGCTGGGTACTGGCCTTACTGTTTATGTCCTAGAGGCTTTGCTTTGTTTAGGAGGTGGCCCCAGCAGGGACAGTCAGAGGACAAGGGATGTATCTCATCACACGGAACCAATAATTTGCTGTCCCACAGCCATGCCCAGATGCCAGAGAATCTCCAGGGACACAAGTGTTCTACAGGGTGGACCTGAGCCTTGCCTTTGCGGAGATGGTCTCCCCAGTACACTGGAGAGTGGAGAACTTTTTCCAGTGTGTGGGTAAGTGAGGAGCCCTGAAAATACACTTGCTAGTGACAGGTACATGCCACCCATGGTCTCGCTCCCTGCCCTGGCTTCATTCTCCTTTTGGCAGTATTCGTTCTCTGGACTGAGAGCTCCCACATCTCAGCGACTGAGTGATTCTGTCAAGTACGCTGCTGGAACTGGAGAGGCCTAGGTCCTGAATGGTGAAAAGGGAGACAGAGGCGGAAGTGCATCAGCTTCCCAGCTCAGCCTCGACTGTGTGTGTGTGTGTGTGTGTATGTGTGTATATGTGTGTGTGTGCATGTGTGTGTATGTGTAGGTGTGTGTGTGCATGTGTATGTGTGTGTGTGCACATGGATATGGAAGCCAAAGGATAATGTCCAGTGTCTACCTTACTCATTCAACAGTCTCTCACTGGCCCTCGAGCCTAGCTCGACAGCTACTCTGACCAGCTAGCAAACGTCAAGGATCCTCCTGTGTCTGTCTCCCGAGTACTAGAATTACAGGTGTACAGGACTTTAAGAACATTTAGGTTTTTTGTTTTTGTTTGCTTTTTTTTTCAATTTTATGTGCCTAAGTGTTTTTCCTGCATGTTTTTTCCTGGTGGGAGTTGCTCTGATCCCATGGAACTGGAATCACAGACAGTTGTGAGCCGTTATGTGGGTGCTGGGAATTGAACCCAGGTCCTCTGGAAGAGCAGTCAGTGCTTTTAACCACTGAACCATCTCTCCGGCTCCACGGCCTTTTTATTTTTATTTTTCAAACAAGGGATCTAGATATCTGATCTCAGATCATTCTTATTTTGGTGTGGTAAATGCCTTACTGATTAATCTTTATTTTTATTTTTTAATTAATTAATTAATTACGTTTTTTTTTGAGATGGAGTTTCTCTGTATAACAGCCCTGGCTGTCCTGGAACTCACTCTGTAGATCAGGCTGGCTTTGAACTCACAGAGATCTGCCTGTCTCTGCCTCCCAAGTGCTGGGATTAAAGGCATGCACCACCACTGCCTGGCTTGTTTCTATTTTTGAGACCAGGTCTTAGTGTGTAGCCTTGGCTGGTGTTAAATTCCCTCAGCCTCCCTGGTGCTTGGTTTGCAGGTGTGTACCACTTCTCTGAGTGTTGTCTCAGGTTTTGTTGTTTGAGACAATCAGAGACTCATTTAGCCCAGGCTGGTCTTGAACTCACAACGTAGTCAAAGTAGTCAAAGATCACATTGAATTTCTGGCCCTTCTGCCTCCAGGCCTCAAGAGCTGAGGTTACAGGAAGTGGCCACTCTGGTGAGTTTATGAAGTACTGGGGATCAACCCAGGCTTCCTGTACTAGGCAACCACTCTGCCCACTGGGCTACATCGCTAGCTCCCACCTCGGCTTTTCTTTCCAATCTGGAGCCTAAGGATCCTAGAGCCTGTCACAACGCTGCATTAGACACAGAGAGAACCTGGTACAGGATGCCCCATTTCCATTTTGGTGTGTCCCACTGTCTCTGTGTGGACTCCAGTGCCTCAGGTCTGTCAATGCCTCAGACTGCTTGGCAGAGAGCCCAAGCCTCTGCGTTGTGTCCTTCATCTGAGGCAAGTTGCCCTATAAACACCGTGCAAGCTCCCGTGCGAGGGATGCAGCCGCCCTGTCTTGAAGGGGCTTTCGGTGAATGCCGGACGACCAGACAACCTGGTATTCACACATGCAAAACCACCAGGAGCAAAACCCATTCAGATCCAGCACGAGGAAATACACATAATTCACAAATGATGTCAATCACTTTCATCTCAGGACTTCCTAACTGTCCTCAATAGAAGACAGACGGGAAGGAGATTGAACTCAGATGTTAATAGTGCAAGAATGCCCCGTTACCAGGATATGATGTCTCGGTGCTGCATAAAAATGTAATTATATTCAGAACTATATTTAAAGATTAAAAGGGGGACTGCCTACCACATCTAGCCCCAAACTCAGAAACAAAGGCAAAGGCGGGATGTGTTGGGGGGGTGGGGCGTGAGGACGGGGTCGAGTTCTAACCGGCTGCTAAAAATGGAAATATTTCTCGAAAGTTTTTACATGTTTCGGCTGCTTTTGTTTTAGCAGTTTCCTGCGGCACTGATATTGATTTTGGAAGAGGGGGGGTTTGGAACTCTACCGGGCCAGGATTCAGCAGGCACTTGCTGTGGGAGAGAGAGCAGGGAGGGAGCAGAGGCCACCAGATGGGGTCTCTCCATCAGCCTGTAAGGGGAGATAGGAGGTGTCTCTGGAGCCTTGTGGAGGGCAGGTGGACCCAGGGGGAGGTGCCAGCGATGAGATGGACTTTGTTCTAGCCTCGGAAGGGTAGGTAGGTTGCTCACAGGGAGATAATGAATAAAATACGAAAATAGCAACAGCAATAAAAACATTTTAGGAGGATTTTTTTTTCTCCCTCCCTGGGAAGATTTACACGGGGAAAGAATGTTCCCTTTCTGGTTTTATTAATTTCATATCAGCAGCCGGAATGAATCTCTCCCCTCCCTGGTCCCCAGTGCACCTCCTCTGTACCTCCTTGCAGCTTCCAGAGCTTTCTGTTCTTTTTATAGTCTCTGCTCTCCGCTCCTGCCTTTCCTTGCAGTCTAGAAGCCTGGGTGGAGATCAGGGGCTGCGGCTCATACAGTTTTTCTTCTTCGGCTTTTGCTTTTAGCAACCACTTACTTACAAGTGCCGGTTAGATCCGATTTTCACCAGGAATTTTTACAAAACGTCTTTCCTCTGTCAATTCGTGACTCGTGAGTCAGACTCTGAATGGGTCGCCTACGTGCCTGCAGTTCTGGGACTTTTATTTTAGACTTTTGTTCGTTTCAGTTTTTGCAGGTGGGTGTTTTGCCCGCACGTGTGTCTGTATACCATGTTTATGCCTGGTGCCCTCTGAGTCAGAAGAGGGCATCAGCTCTCCATGAATTAGAGTTACAGGTGGTTGTGATAGACCATGTGGGTGCTGGGAACTGAACCCAGGTCCTCTGAAAGAGCAACAGGTGCTCTTAACCACCAAGCCATCTCTTCAATCTCAGGATACAGATTTTTAAAAATCTCCCTCTCCCTTACAAAATGAAAACCAAACCCAAAGGGTGTTCAAGAGCATCCTAACAGTTTCAGGTGGGAGCTTCTGAGGACAATGGAGTAAGCTGGGGTGCCCACCCCCTGAAAAGAAAGTCAATGGCAATGTGGGTATTGCCATGGAAGTGGAGGTGTGGTTGTGGCAGTGGGGGTGTGGCCATGGCAGTGAGGGGTGCCTTCATCTTCCAAAGACTGGGTGAAGGCTAGCAAAATGGCTCAGCAGGTAAAGGTGCTTGCTGCCCAGCCTGCTAGCCTGAGTTCGATCTCCAGGACCCACATGGCCAAAGGGAAGAAGTGAGCTCTGATATCTGCAGTGTGGCATGTGTAGTTTCCCCGTGATAAAAGATCTCAAGACGTGAGTGAGAGGACCTGGGGGGAAATGCTGGTGAACCAGTGAGGGTGAGGGCATCCAGGACCCAGGGGAAGGGGGCAAAGCCGCAGTGGGGTTTAGGATAAGAAGGAGTGGCAGGCAGTCCGGGCAGCAGGAGTCACCAGATTCCCCACAAAGAGACAGGCCTGACTTCTCTGGGGACGCGTCTGAGAGGGTTCTGCCTTGTAAGGAGGTAGACCTCAGTGGCCAAGTCTGTCCATTGTTCTGTGTGAAGCTGGTGATAGGAAGTGTTCTCTGGATCTGGGCACGGTGCCTCGTGCCTGCGATTGCAGAGCTTGGGGGGCTGAACAGGAGGAAGGCTGAGTTCAAGAACAGCCTAGGCTACTTATGGAAAGCCTATCTCAGATATAACCACACAACGACATCCCTACAAAACCTCACCATTTTAACCACCTTGCAGCCTGCCCCAAGGATACTAAATGGTTGTACCGGACTGTGGATTAGGAGTTGCTACTTAGTGTGTTGGGAGAATGCCACAGGAACTTGGTCCCCAGAGGCCAGGGGTGCTGCTGACCATCTTAAAATGTACAAGATGCCCCTCCCCCCCGACAGGACAGTATGGTTTGGTCTAGGATATCAGCAGTGCTTGGCTGGCTAACCTAAGAATGGCCAGGCAGGCAACGTTAACTGGTTCTGATTGATTCCTGGGGTTGGACGGATCAATGTATTAAACCTCAAAATAGGAGATGGCTCTCCGATGAAACCAGCTGGTAGCTTCCAGGCTGGGCAGTGAATGGAGTCAGGAGATCTCTGCAGAAACCTGGGTTTATGTGTTTTAAGTTCATTAGTCTCTGTTCATTGAAACAGAGTCTCAGATCCAGACTGGCCAGGACCTTGCTCTCTAGTCAACTGGAACTTGAACTTCTGATCCCTTTGCCAACACTTTCTGACTTGCTGGGGTTACTGGTATGAACCACAGTACTTGGCTTATGTCAGTCTGGAGGCTGAACTCAGGGACTTGTGATGTTAAGCAAGCATTCTGCCAACTTAGCTGCATTTCTAGCACAGATAATTTAATTTCAAAGCTCTGTGAGATTCAGCCATGAGGACAGCTCCTAAGCCAGGGCTGGGCACTGACCACCAGGCTTCTCTTCTTTGGGGAACGGATGAATGCTTCCGTGTCAGGAAGATTTCGCTTCCCTAGGGGGAAAGCTGACTTCTGCTTTCCACTTGGAAGGGTCAAGAGAAGACTCACTTGTCTCAACAGCCACATCGAGGGCGACTCTACCCACCCTGTCCCCTGGATGGGAGACCGTTTCAGCAGAAGTGCCGCCGCCTGCTGCCTCTCCCCAGTTCCAGATCCCGCGAGTGGCTGCTCAGGATGAGCCCCTTCGGCGTTTTGTGCACCAGTCTGCTAAAGAAACCACCGAGGCAAATCCACAGCCGTGTGCTCTGCATGCTGCTCCCTACCCAAGGGTCTGGTCCCTGCCTCATGGATGGCTTTAATTGGGCCTAAGCCCTTTCTCTCATTAGCCTTTATTCACGGATAGCTACATTTTGAGATCCCCCGGTCATATTTCTTCCTCAAACATAGAATGTTCCCCAGGGAAAGCAGGGACCTAACATGCTCTACCTCGGGGCAGGGTCCTTGCATCTGTCCTGCTTGGCTCACATTGAAGAAGGTAGCGGTACAGACAGCTGCTGCATTCACAAGGGGGTTGAAAACTGAGGCAGGCGCACTCCAACAGTGGAGGTGGGGGTCCTGGAGGCAGGCCTTGAAGCTCAGCCTGAGGCCACTGCCCCCACATCCTTCTCTGGGCTGAGGTTCACAGGGTTGCTAGGGCCATTTGCTTTTATTTCTGATGCTTTTCCTCTCTGTGCAGCTGGAACCAGCAGCACCGTTCTTGCAAACGGCTCCACTGGAAGGAGGAAGCTGGATGTCCACTGCCTTCTCTTCCACCAGTGCAAGCCAAGAGCATCATGGTCCTCAGACTCCTCCAAAAGAGGCAGACTTAATTCCACATCTCTGGGCTCCAGCTACACTCTCCTCAGAGCACACGGAAGCTTCCCAGGCTGGCCCCAGACCTTCACAGGCGGTCTTCCTGTCTCACGCTTCCATGACCACACATTTGTCTTCAGAAGTCCCCTCTCCTCTGTGGCCTTCTTGGCGATTCGATGGGCCCCAAACACTGCTGGGTTCTGAACTGTCTGTTCCCCTAACCAAAGTTCCAAGAGTCATGATGACTGAGCAGGACTCTGCCCAGCCGTCAGGCAGTCCCTTCCCACTGGCACGATTGTCAAGAGAGACTGTGAAATCAACAGAGTCTGTGGATCCCACCCCAAGGGAGCCTGCCCACATCGGCGAGGAATTCACACCATGGACAAGGCCCTTTAGGAGCCGCCTCGATGAAGAGGGGTTGATTTTCCACCGTGCTCCCAGAAGGCCTCAGGAGATACTACCAATAACCAAGGCTGAGGAGCCACTGCAGAATGAAGATCCATTTGGAGAAGGGGTCAGAGGGTACCTGGATCTGTCAACCTCAGAACCAAGGCAGGGCCCAGAAGGGCTGGGACTCACTGTCTTGCCAGGGACTGATGTCAGATTCACTATCCAAAGAGGGAGACAGCCAGATGCCAGTGCCCACCTGGGGACCTCCAGTTCAGAGCTCCCTGGGAGGCACAGCGTGGGCTCAGCAGATCCTCAGACAGTACTTCCCAGGGACTTTCTGACTGCCGCCTCTGAGAAGCCTGCAATCCCTTCTGAAGGTGCAGACAGGACCCTACAGCTTGAATCAGTGCCTACATGGCCTGAGGCCTGGCCGTCCATATACAGCCAGCCCCCTACCTCCACACACCCAAAGCCTTCTGGCTCCCCCAGAAAGCAGATTGCTCTGCCCCAGTGAGGCTGGATTCCCCCTCCCTGATGGTCAGGAGTTGATGGAGGCCAGGTTGGCCCCGACCCCTGAGAGCCATCAGCTTCCTGAGCTTTAGCACATGTGGAGGGGGGTGCTCAAGAGGCCCCTGTGCTGAGCCTTTCTAGAGACTTCAGCAGTGAGTCAGAGTGTCCAGGGAGGGGAGGCACAAAGGGAAGGGAGGACGCAGTTTGGTATGTTCCTACTTCCCTTCAGAAGGCGGCTGCGACAGGACCAGAGCCCCGGCCTCCCTGAACTGGCCCAGCTGTACTTCACATCTCACTGTTAAATCTGGGAAGGCGGCTGGGCAGCGTGCAGGCCGATAGCCAGGCCCACCTGTGTCTAGGGCTCTGGCCCCAGTGTTTCCTCTTTAGCTTTGTAACCTTAGCAGGGCACTAGCCTTCCTGAGCCTTAGTTTCCTCATCAATGGAGGGGAAATGATACTCGTTCCTCCCCGGTGGGGTTATTGAAGGAGGTGAACAAGAATCACATAAAGCCTTGGGTACCGAGCCCCGCGCAAGCATGCTGGAATCCCTGGGGAGGGAGGATGGGGTGTCAGCACAAACTATGGTTTCTATGGCAGCAGCTGGTACCCTTCTGGTTTGGACAGACCCATTGACCTGCAGTGACCCAGAGCTCCCAAACTCAGTGGCCCAGGAGCCCAGCTGTGGCCTGGGCAGGAACCCCACTCCGTGCTTCCCTGCGAGGGCAGTGCTTCACCCTCTCCAGGCCGACTGTGGCTGGAAGTGGGGTTTGAAACGCAGCCAAGAAGAGGAGGCCGGGCGGCCGTGCCCGCCCAGAATGCGAACTAAATAAATAAATAAATAATCAGGGTTGTCTTGGCTGATAAACGGTCCCTACCTCGAAGATGACTTCTCCCCCCTGCGTGCCCCCCTCCTTCCTCTTTCTCCGGGCAGATCCATCCCAGGCAAAAGCTTAATAGCCCCATTTAAGGCTTTTCCTTTTCACCACGGAATTGAGCTGCTCCTGCCATTACGGGGTTTTCAGCTTCTCTCTGAAATCAAATTACTGACTCCATTTAATTTTTTAAAAGCTCGGATGATTTCCCTTCTTGAATCCGAACTGTGACTCCAAGGCCAGCCCCCTCCCCTGCCTCCCCTGCCCCCAACGAGGCGCACCCCCTGTGGGTAACTGCTGCCCAGGGATGGTGGCCCCCATGCCAAGGCAAGCCTGACACCTACAGGGGGAAGCCAATAGAAGGCAGCCCGGGTCCCACATCCTGGACACACCACTGGGTGGTCTTGGCTTCTCCTGGGTCTATGTCAACTCACAGAGATCCCACAATGGCAGACCTTCAGGTGCTAGTAGGTCAGTGGTCAGAGCCCAGCCTGATGCACTGGGCTCTTGGTCATTCTGCAGACAATGCCCCCTGCCCCATCATGTGTGTTCAAGACTCCATCCCTTCACGGATGTCTATGGAGCCACTCCTCTGTACCAGGTACCATTCCAGATGCAAGGAGACCCTCCTGACAGGGGAAAGTCCTGTCTCTCTCTCTCTCTCTCTCTCTCTCTCTCTCTCTCTCTCTCTTCTAGGGTTGGAGATGCAATAACCACATGGGGCAAATTCAGATGTTTCCCAGTGCTCAGCAGAGAACCAAGCAAACAGCTGGGGGTGGGGCTTGCATTGAGTGACAGAACGCACTAAGGAGAAGGTCAGAGGCAAACTCAGAAAGAGCCAGGGGAGCCAGCCCAGTGGCACAGGTCTCTGACCCTAGCCCTCAGGATCTGAGGCCAGCATGGGGCTACAAAATGAGAGCCTATCTCAAAAATGGTAAGCACAAACAATCCTTCCCACTGCCAAAAGAATAGAAATAGTCGGGTGAGGTCATCTAGGCGAAGTGACAGAAATGACAAGGGCGCTGAGGTGGTCCGGGGACAGAAAGGTCACTGGACAAGGCATTTGAGCGGATGGTGAAGAAGGGAAGGAACTGCAGGGCTTGGATGCTTAGGAGGAGACTGAGTTCCACTCTGCCCTCAGTGGGCATCTCATGAATCTCATGAATCAGACAAATGGCCTTAGGTAGGGGCCTTATAAAGGTGGCCATGACTAGGTGGTTGGTCACAGGGACAAGAGCAGCAGCCAGGAGCATGGAGATCAGGGGTTAGCTCAGAACATGCCTGCCCTACTAGAGGGAAGTGATTCCCAAGGTCCCTTGTGGATCCTGTGCCACTCCTGTGTTCTAACAGGCATGAGATGTGTCTGCTAAGAAACAGGGCATCTGCCGGATCTTCACCCTTGCTACAGTGTTGCTCCTCGGAGTCATTTTGTGCCTTACTCTGTTTCTGCCACCGCTCACTCTTCCTCTTCTCCACTTCAAGGCCACCTAGTTTTGGGACATCACAGACCAAGGCATGAGCACACCCTGAAGATCTGTGAACTAGCGCTCTCTCTCAAGTCCTCTATGTGTGATACCACCTGCATCCTCAGACACCAGACGAAGGAGATGGAGTTAATGGAGTCATCCAGCTCAGGGTGAGGATGTAGCTCAGTAGGTAGTGGCCTCGCCTAGCCCGAGGCTGTAGGTTCAATCCCCAGCAGTGGATAACTGGGTGTGGTGGCACACGCCCGGAATCCCAGCCCTCCAGAGGTGGACGCTCAGGGTCCTTCTAAGCTACCTGGCACATCCGAGACCAATGACCAACGTGTGATAGACGAGACTGTGTCTAAATAGTAAAATCAAAGTAAGTCGCTATAAATGGTTCAGCAAGTCCCAAGGCGGGAGGAGCCTAGGCATGAACTGACTCTGGGTGCCCTTTGCCGCCGGAACAAACCATAGGCAGACTTTCCCTGCCCCTTGCCTCCCTCGCCTCATTGCCTCAGAAGTGGGACAGTCTTCTTTAATTAGAAAGTGCTTGGGGTTCTGTGCAGGGCTCCTGTTCTCTTTTAACATGTGACAACGCCTAATCTGCGCCCCTCCCCCACTCTTGATGTACCACAGCCAGAATGGTACCCATGACCAATGCTGGGGCTATGGCAGGCATATTCGTGAACATTGCCCCTGCCTTGGGGACATCTAATTCCTTACTGAGACCTCCCAGGCCTTGCAAGCATCTGTTCATGCCTGACATGTCTATGTGCCGTGACGTCTTGGAAGGGGTGTTTGTACGAGGGTTGGGGCTGGGGGTCTTAGCCAGCCCAGGCTCTTCGATGTGATAGGACCTAATAGGTGCCTTGGGTTCTCATCTTCTCCCCAGTGACTATGTGGAGTCCACAGTTAGTACGCATGCATTGTATTTCTCTCCCTGTCTGTTCAGTGGAGTGGTCAGCACAGGGCCAGGGCCCGCCTGGGTTTGCCTCTGTGAGCGCCAAGACTGTGACTCTGGACTCAGATTTTCGAAGCTTCCTGTGACAGCTTCGGTCGCAGCACGCCTTTTTAAGGTTGGCCGCGAGTCTCTGTTGGGTATTTGACTCTTACTTAAACTGGCGCTGTAGCTATCAACTCAGTAATTCTCCAAATTACCGAGTAACCAGAGAGTCTGTGTGTGTGTGCCGGGGAGAGCGCTCTTCTGGCTGTCAGGGGACCAGACTGGTCACGCCCAGGACTGGTGTGACTTTGAGCGGGTCAGTTCACTTGCGGATCCTGGATCCGCTGTGGAGTGTTGATGGAGGATGCTGGAACCTCTGATCTAGGATAAGGCTGGTCGTCTGCTGGTAGAAACGAAGGCATTGTGCAGGGTCCCTGGCCTTCCAGTCCAGGCCGTGCCGTGTTCCCATGCCTCTGCTTCTTTCATGTTTAGCTATATATGTGTGTGTGTGTGTGTGTGTGTGCAAGTGCATACGTGTAAGTGTGCTATGTGCTGCTACAGACATCAGGGCAAGGCAGGGAGGATGACAACGGGGACAGAAGGTTGTTCTCATGGACCCAGCCAGAGGTCACCTTTTCCTTCTCCATAACCACTTCCTTTTCCTCCTCCAGCTTGTTCTTTGACAAATATCCAAAGGTAGTCTTTAGACTCACTATGTAACTCAGCATGAACTTGAACCCCTGATCTTCCTGCCTCTCCTCCTGAGTCCTGGTCACATAAGGCTGGACATGGAACCCAAGGCTTTCTGCACGCTAGGCAAGAATTCTACCACCTGGACTACATCTGGGCCTATCTCCTCTCTCCTCTCCTGAGACCTACGGTGAGCCACCCCTCTCCCCAGCGCCATGGCCCTCAGACATGGTTCTCACAGTGAGGTCCCCAGCCAGCAACATCAGCATTCCCTGGAATATACTAGAAATGCAAATTACTAATTTATTTGAGACAGGGTGTCATGTAGGCCAGGCTACTCTTGCACCCACTGTGTAGCAGAGGCCTGCCCTTGAAACCCGATCCTCCTGTTTCCACCTCCCAGTCGATAAGATATATTACAGCCACGCCCCAACATACTCAGCTTAGAAATGCAATTTATTTATTTATTTTTTTTTTTTGGAGACAGGGTTTCTCTGTGTAACAGCCCTAGCTCTTCTGGAACTCCCTTTGTAGAGCAGGCTGACTTCGAACTCACAGAGATCTTCCTGCCTCTGCCTCCCAAGTGCTGGGATTAAAGGCATGTGTCACCTTTGCCTGGCAAAATGCAAATTCTTGATCTGGGAATGTAGCTCAGTTACCACTGTCTAGCATGGCCACTGCTAAAGGGAACAAATTGGACCACACCCCAGATGACAGATGGAGACATTCAGTCAGTCCAGTCTAGCAGTTTGTGTTCTAACAAGGCTCTAGAGGATTCGGCTGCCCCGTTGCACACTTGAAAACAAAAGCTTCAGAGAGGGAGAGAGGGAAAGAGGGAGACCTAACTCCCCTGCCTCCAGAATAAAGGTGACATTCTGTTTCCAAAGACTTGCCACCTCCGTCTGCATGCAGAACCACCCCTTTGAGGAAGAAATGCTTCTGCCCATTTTATGGGTGAGGAAACTGAGGCTCATGACCTTACCCAAGGTCACACAGTTGGAAGACCATGGTCTTGTTATTCTGAGGCAAAGAATCCTTCTAGCTCACCTCGGGTTCTCAGGATTCTTAGACCAAAGACACCAACACACGTCCCTTGGCCAGGAAGGAGATCCGCCTTTCAGCTTTCTGCCCGGTTTCCAGTTGTAATCACGAGAGAGAGCATCCAGGAAGCATAAATTTTGCCTGGCAGTTGAGTAAGATCGCTGAAAGGAGTTACACGTCAGGGAGATGGGACTTTATTTCTCAATGAAATAGCCTTTTTATGGCTGGAATAAAAGTGCCAGGGGGAGCCTAATGCCAGGAAGTAGCAAGCACATTTGATAAACTCCTTAAGCAGGGCGGGGCGGCATGGGAAGCCGTGGTCTGGCAGAAGTCCTCACACAACTCCAGTTCATGTTTCCCTGCAGGTTCAGGTTGTGGGAGAGATCTCGGGAGGTCCTCATGGCCCGACCTGCAGGAGAATGACTGACACCGGACCCAAGGAGACAGCCTGCCACCGGGTCCCCAGGTCCTAAGAGCGGAGTGGCAATGTGGAGAGCAGTCAGCAGAGGGCAGCATAACACCCTGTTCCAACTTGACCCGTGGCTGCTGGAGGGGGTAGGGGGCTTGGGTGTGGGGAAGGCCTCTGGGGTGCAACCCTCAGAAGAGGTCCGCCGTAGCTCTTTCCCCAGAACGCCTTCCTCCTCATTTCTGTATTCAACTTTTTCTTATCAAAGAATAGTTCCCCATAAGCAGAAGCTTGCACCCTCATCTAAG